TCACACACACACACACACACACACACACACACACACACACACACACACACACAAAAAAAAAAGACTCAAAATTCCAAAAGCTGGTGCAAGGATAGGAAGGTTTACTGAAGGGATATGGTGGCAGCAGGTGATGCCAGGACTCACTAGGATCTTCTCCTAGTGACATGACTGAGCTCTGTGCAGCCACAAGTTCAGCATGGAATGTTACAGGCTGCTCCAGGGACGACATGGCAGCCACTCCTCAGAGGTTGTCTGGGGCATGAGCACTAAGTGGGGAGGAAGGGGCAGGCTCTGAGAGTGTGTCCTGGCACTGTCCTGGCCCCTTTTTATACAGATGAATTGCCAAGTACCTGGGGCTGAGCCCTCCATGACCTCCTCCTCAAGGCTTGGCAGCCATTTACACCTGAGCCTAGCCTGGTCCCGACTAGTCCTCTGGGCACCACCGATGCTCCCGCTGCACTGAGAGGCTGAGCATCCCTGAGAGGTGTGTGATTTGGTCTGTTACACTGTACAGAGTCCTGGTGACTGTCCTGCTCACAGGAGTATGTGCAGTGTCTCTGGACTTCACACCCTGATTGTAACTCAGAAACCACTAGAATTTTGNAAAGCAATGAATTTATAGTAACACACATGTATTTTAGTGAAGAAATATTAAAATCAATTACCTTAGCTACCACTCTGACATACTAGTAAAAGAAGAGCAAATGCACTCAAAATAAATTGTCTTTTATCCATAAAAATGTGGAAATGTAATGGGTACATGTCTAGTTTATATGTCTACTTATATGTCATATAAGTCTATAAAGCACATGTTAGCAGCTTCACAAGAGAAAAGTTTGAAAGTAGATGGGGAGCTTGAGCAACTTCTCAGAGAGAATTCAGTCACAGGGAAAGTCCAAATAGGATCATTAGGCAATATTATGAAGATACACATTTGCGAGACTCCTGTGAGCTTTGACTTGATCAAAAACCAAAAATCACACAGTGCAGGCAGCTTTACATTCTTCTGTTGGGTAGTGAGAGGGACAGTCACTTGACTAAGGCCTGAAGAAGTGACCTGAAGGGATATGGTGGCAGCAGGTGATGCCAGGACTCACTAGGATCTTCTCCTAGTGACATGACTGAGCTCTGTGCAGCCACAAGTTCAGCATGGAATGTTACAGGCTGCTCCAGGGACGACATGGCAGCCACTCCTCAGAGGTTGTCTGGGGCATGAGCACTAAGTGGGGAGGAAAGGGCAGGCTCTGGGAGTGTGTCCTGGCACTGTCCTGGCCCCTTTTTATACAGATGAATTGCCAAGTACCTGGGGCTGAGCCCTCCATGACCTCCTCCTCAAGGCTTGGCAGCCATTTACACCTGAGCCTAGCCTGGTCCCGACTAGTCCTCTGGGCACCACCGATGCTCCCGCTGCACTGAGAGGCTGAGCATCCCTGAGAGGTGTGTGATTTGGTCTGTTACACTGTACAGAGTCCTGGTGACTGTCCTGCTCACAGGAGTATGTGCAGTGTCTCTGGACTTCACACCCTGATTGTAACTCAGAAACCACTAGAATTTTGGTTAGATGTGTGTCTTCACTTGTGGTGAGTAGAAAGACACTCTGAAGAATTTCATTCTGTAAGACTTTTTTTTTTTTTTTTTTTTTTTTTTTTTTTTTTTTTTTTT